CATTCCGTAATTCGGCAAAATCACTAATCCGGCACCCTACAGGTCCCAGTGATGCCGGATTAGTGATGGCCAACCTGTACTACTGTAATTTTAGAAGGCTGGACACAGTACCCATGTAAACTATTATAATTATAGAAGACTGGATAACATAAGTACGGTAGACCGTCATTTAACACGGTAGTTACATTCCTGAAAACACCGTGTTAGGTAAAACCGTGTTAGACAAACTGAAGAACTTATGGAAAAAATAGGGTTACATTCCTGTTAGCCTCCAAAAAGCCAAGCAACTTTTTTTTAAAGCAACTGATCTTACAAAAATAAAAGTGCATATGTAATTGTAGTTCATTGTCGTGATATGTTACTGCTTAAGACTACAAATGCAAAAGAAATAATAGTATTTCTTACCTTAAATTGTGGGTAATGATGTTTGTGGATGATTGCGAAGAGTGGATATGCATGGTGTGACCCTACTGGTCTGAGGTGGATGGTTGTTGGTTGTCTGCAGAAGTGGATGGTAGAGGTTCTGGTACTAAAGTCCATGGTTTTATTGGAGTGTGCATAAATTCTGTAATGGATCTCGGGGCTCTTTTACCCAGCAGTACATTATACAGCTGACAATATGGCATCATCAGCTGGTCTAGACCCTGTTTCAAAGCGCTGCTTCTAGATTTGTCTGGGCCCTCTTCACTGAAAAAGTCTGTAACTTTACCAATATTATGGAAGTGCTCACGTAACTGCTGCAATGTTAACTGTTTTTCTGCATGTTCTTCTTCATCTTCTTCTGTTATCTGGCTGCCTTGTATCTGTGCATCGAGCTCTGCCAACATTTCCTCTGAACTCCTGTCTTCATCATCATCATTATCTTCTAAGAACTCATTCACATCTTCAAAACCATCACCTGGTAATCTCCTTGCCACCTGAACAATTTCCTGAACCTGACTCTCAAGCAAGGGAAAACCAGTCAAAGAATTAACTACAGAAGGCCATAACTTTCCCCAGCCTACATTTAATGTTGATTAGGGTACTTTATTCCATGCACTTCTAGCATAGCTGATGGCATCTGAAATGTTAAATTTATTCCAGAAGCTTGGTACTGCCAAGTTGGAGTCAGAGTTCATTGATGCAACTAGTTTTTTCATAACTTTTTTTTGTATAGTTTCACTTGAATGGCTTAATAACTCCCCAATCCAGTGGTTGAATTAGGGATGTTGTATTTGGAGGTAACAATACAACTTTTATATGTGAGGTCACATCCAGCAACCATGGCACCTACTGGGTGCCATGATTACTTGGCAGATTTAAGATATGGCAATTAAAATATGTATCTGAACAAATACAGCGAGCTCCTAGCAGAGGTTCATCCAACACGCGTATGAACCAGGCTGGGAGGGTGGCTGGGGATGGCGACCATGTGGTCAAAATTTTTTCCCCTCCCGTAGACTGAACCATGTTAAGTTAATTTTATGAAGTGTATAAAATTGTTCAGCAGTTGTTCAATCGTGCTATAACCAAAACGTGGCAAATGATGGTCTGCTGTATAAAATTACTGAAATTACAAATAAGTACATATAACTACACACAGAACTAAGATATAATCATCTCATTCAAACTGTGCTCATTCCTGCATTCTTCATTGAATGAATTTATATACAGCCTCTCCTCACTTAACGACAGAGTTCCATTCCTATGACCACATTGGTAAACGAATTCGTCGCTAGTGAGGAGCAAACTGCATATAATGGTAGTGGGTTTGTGTCAACCATGTTTGATATTGTTTTAATGTCACCTTTGCACCATTTATAACATTTTTTGTATACTTCTAAATGTTTATACAGTAGTATACAGCCTCTCTTCCATAGCGAAGTACGTACTCGTTTACCAACGTCTCAGACTTACAACGGTCTCTTTGACCAGTATTCATACCTAAATAATGTATATTAAAGCTGATTTCCTCTATTCTGTTTATTTAGTATCCAGTACACTACTGTATAAACATTTAAAAATATACCAGAAATGTTATAAATGGTGCAAAGGTGACATTAAAACAATATCAAAGATGGTTGACACAAACTACCATTATAGTATGCTCCTCATGTAGTGACAAATTCGTTTAACGACATGGTCTCAGGAACGGAACTCCGTCGTTCCGTGAGGAGAGGCTGTACTGTATATTGTAATAAGCAGAATAGAGGAAATCAGCTCTAATATACATAATTTAGGTAAACCATACCACGGGCGGGGATAGAACCCGCGATCAGAGAGTCTAAAAATTCCAGACCGTTGCGTTAGCCACTGGACCAGCTAGCCACAATAAGATTCGTCCAACTAGGTACACCTTCCATCCGACTTACGACCGAGTTCGGTTCCGAGAAACCGGTCGTAAGTCGAAATGGTCGTAAGTCGAACTTTACTACTGAATATCAACAAAACACTTTTGTAATGACTTTATTTTATTGTTTTATTTTGGTATTTCATGTTTTACTTTACTTTTTATGCTGTTAGTACTGCATTTTATACTGTAAGGTTTAGGATAAACATTGTGTACTACACAAATAGTTGTTTATTTCCCAGAAATTTGGCATAAAAAACACAGTTGTAAGTCGAGTGGTCGTAAGTCGAGCAGGTCGTAAGTCGGATGGTAGGTGTATATTTCTACACCATAGGAAGGTTAGCATAGGCACCACTGTGACCGCAAATGCAAGTTTTTACAGACGAATCTCCAGCTAGCATGGCCATGATGAACTCTAGCTCAAGTCCCCTCAAACCCGTCAACATGACTCACGAAGTTGTAAAGACACGATTGCAAACAAACCATACCACGGGCGGTTTTACAAACGAATCTCCAGCTAGCCTATGCTAACCTTCCTATGGTGTAGAAATATACCTAGTTGGACGAATCTTATTGTGGCTAGCTGGTCCAGTGGCTAACGCGGCGGTCTGGAGTTTTGACTCTCTCTGATCGCGGGTTCTATCCCCGCCCATGGTATGGTTTGTTTGCAATCATGTCATTACAATTTTTTGAGTCATGTTGACGGCTTTGAGGGGACTTGAGCTAGAGTTTGTCACGGCCACACTAGCTGGAGAATCGTCTGTAAAAACTTGCATTTGTAGTCACAGTGGTGCCTACGCTAACCTTCCTATGGTGTAGAAATATACCTAGTTGGACGAATCTTATTGTGGCTAGCTGGTCCAGTGGCAAATGTGATGGTCTGGAGTTTTTGAGACTCTGATCGCGGGTTCTATCCCCGCGTGTGGTATGGTTTGTTTGCAATCGTGTCATTACGATTTCGTGAGTCATAATTTAGGTACGCATACTGGTCAGAGAGCCCATCATAAGTCCAAGTCATCGGTAAACAAGTACGTCGGTAAGTGAGAAGAGGCTGTACTGTACTGCAATTTGAAAAAAATATGTTTGGCTTCATATCACAAATCTTGTGAAAGTACAGTACTTGTTGGGGCTGATACTTTATTTGCATTTTATCTTGTATACATTATACAGTATTAGCAGACTATAGGAACCCTTTTTAATATGTACACTATGTAAATTTTAATTTCAGTTACCCATAATGTGTTAGGGATGTGTATAATAAAATTGATTCAATAACTGCTCTTATGAAATTTTTTATGTGTGAATTCTTTAAAGTGTGTGATACTCACATATACATTATATCTGTGCAATGTTACACATTCCCAGTTAGATGTTTCTTGCGAAAAAAAAAAATCACAAACAACTTCACTTTGTAGCGAAAACTTCAACAACGTTTTGGTCCATGCTGGGCCGTTATCTGGCCACAACTGTCTTGACTTAAGAGGCACGTAAGTTCTCCCATCTTCTAATAACATGTTCATTTTTCCACTATAATCTACCTCATCCATAATTACTATTGCATTTGCTTTGTCTGTTTCATAAGGTGAAGTCTAGGATCTTTCTTTAATTCATGGTATAACTTAACAAATTTTTGATGATAGTGGTGTAGAAATCTGAGCTTCGCTCAGATCTCCACAGCACAATTGTCTTCAAAAATTTGTTAAGTTGTACCATGAATTAAAGAAAGATCCTAAACCTCACCTTATGAAACAGACAAAGCAAAGGTGATATGAATTATGGACAAGGTAGATTATAGTGGAAAATGAACATGTTATTAGAAGATGGGAGAACGTATTACATGCTTCTTAATAATGGCGCAGGAAGGACTGAAGCATTAAAAGTTTCCTCTCCAGTGTCGAGTTATATTTGTAAATTGTTCCAGCCATGATACTGTGCCTTTTATTTTTCTTGCAAAACTAATTAAACAGTACAAGCTGTACATTTCTAGTTACCAAGACTGTACTAGAAGTGCTCACTTTTTGCGTTAAACTAATGCTGGGGTTTCCTCTTTTACTTCAGACCATGCACTTGATGTCTGCTCCAACACTAGGTCACACACACACACCACATGTCTACTGTAATTTTAGACCACACACATGATGTGTATAATCTAGGTCACACATCTGATGTCCACTCCAACTATATTTTAAATATTTAATCTGTATTCTTATAGTCACAGATTATTATAACAGCAAGACTTCAGCCTAGTCATGATCACTTGCTTCCTTTAAAAGCATTACATCTTCTTTGAATTTCATATTTACATTGTCTAACCATTTTAACTTCTTTAGAAAAAGTTGCATTAAACACCTAACCTTTGACTTAGTTGTGCTTTAGCTTTTTTCTACCAATTAACAGTCTCTTACATTACATTTCCTTGTGCGTGATTCTTCTTATGCTCTGTTTTTTAATAAATTCCTTATATAAACTATAAACAAAGGATCTGTATCTTTCTGATGCATTAAAACTTAATTTTCACCAGGAAAAAATCATTTCCAAAAAGAAGGCCACCAAAAGTTTGGGTTGAGCAGCTATCCACAAGGAATATCCCAGAGGACCTAAACAGTTCTGGATATCCTCTTTAAGCAGCCAGCATCATTTGCTGCGTCTTCTAATCTTTGTTAAACTGCAGGTGCACACTCAACACTACAAGTACAAATCCACAAAGAATCGCGACGAGGAATTGAAAGCGGCCATGGAAGCCACTGCCGGTGCTCTGGATCCCAATGCAGAAGTGGTGGAAGACGAGGTCGAAAAGCTCTCTGACGAGGCCAATGAGTACAGGAACTGGTGCAAGCTGATGGAGCTCAATGCCATGAAGAACATTGGTGTCAACTCTAACACCCCTCCTTCAGAGGAAAAGAAGAAAATTGGAACTTCCAGTTAGTGTTGGTTGTGGGTGTTAGGCAGTGTTTTGAATGCATGCTTGGAGAAGGAGCTTATTGGTGGTACTAGTGGAGGAGCACACAGCCATGACACAGTCCTCAGTCCAAGTTAGACATTAACGTGTGTATGTGTGGTTCGCCAACCCTCAGGAAGGGACTTCTCTTGTGTTCATTGTGACATGGAAAATATATTCTAAGGGTTCCTTTCGTATGCTGAGGCAGAAATGTGAGTATTCTAGAAAGAATGTATAGTGTTTAGTTGCACCCCTTTAGAAAATGTGAGAAAATTTGCTAGAGGTACATAATATTTAGAAAAAAAATTATTTCATCTTTTTGAAACAGGAAGAGCAATAATGATAGTATAAATGTGGTAAGTTAAAATACAGGGCAGTTAACTACCTTGAAAGCCTACTTAGAATACAGTAAAAAAAATGGTTACTGTTTGAGTTACTGTATAAATGAAAAAAAGGAAATTATAAATGATAATCTTAAATCAAGATATATTGGTGCGATAATTATAAGTTAGTATATGAATCAAGTGTTCAGTGTATCTTCATGTAGTGCAACAGAGAAAGCAAAGCTAACCAGGGATGAAATAGAACTTAATACTATCACTGGACTGTCTGCCTTTGTACCTCTGAGTGCCATAGAACTGTGATTGTGGTGCAGATCTCGGTGCATGAGTCCATTGTGGACTTAAAAAAAAAACATTCTCAAGGCAGGGGTTGATGTTTTATATACAGCACAGGAATCTCAGTAAGGTCCACCATGCTCGTCTCCAAGACAAATGTGTGGGTGACTTCATGTTTATAGCAGCTTCATATCACATGTTTGTACATAATGACAGTGTGTGAGTAGTTAATGTAAGTGACCACCAGTGTTGTGCTTTGTTTGTCTAATTAATTATAGAGATTTAAAGTGTTCAAAGATAGGGACTTTTAACTTAGGTTTTTATTTGTACTTATGATTGTTTTCTACTACAACATAATTTGTGGTTTATAGGCTATTTTTTTTTTTTTTTCTAAAATAGTTGTGAACTGAAAGCATTTACATTTATGCAGGTTTTGTGTATCTGCATATAGCATTTATGAACAGCAGGTAATTTGCTTTTAGATATGTTGCCTAAGCTTATAGCTTCTATTATCTAATGCTAGAGACAAGTGTACAGGTGCAATGTAAGTATCTCGGTGCTGTGCTTCTTGGCTACTGTTGGTTACAGAGCAAACAGGGTGAATTACGTTAGGAGTTAAAGGTTTATCAGGTTAATTTTTATTTCTACAATATTTGATAAGATATTTATTTGCTTAGCTGACAGTTATAGGCAGTGTACACAACCTGTCTTTTCATCCCATAAGTTGATGAATGGTAGTAAATATGGATGAGGCTTGTAGTATGAATGATTTGTTGATGTGAATGCCATTGTTGTTGTCTGTGTGACTGACATATCATTGAGAACATCAAGTGATATGCACATACTCTAGACAGTTTTTTTTTTTTAAACAGAAATTCCACTAAAGGTTCCTAAAAATAATACTTAGGAAAAGATCACCTCAGAACATAGATATGTTATTGTTCCTTTAGTTTTCTGTCATCAGTGGATTTCAGTTGCCCGCTACTCAAGCCATTTTAGTTTACACACTGTTGTCCCTTTTTGCAGTCTTGTATGAGCACTGACTGATCTGTGGCCAGAAATATGCATCTGACATATGGCAGTCTTTTTTTTATTAGCCATTCTTTGATTTTATGAAGTGACAGTTGAGATCAGTGGGCAAGAGAAAATCCAAATAAAAAAAAACCAAAACTAGTATCAATGTACTATGTCACACTGTTCTTCAGGGCAAGGGACATTTCTTGTTCATTCCATATGAAAAGGACATGTCACATGAAACAGTAATACTGGTTCTGTTGAATATTTATTTTTCTTATTGTGAAAATATCATAAGGGTCACTATTTTCAATTTGCTTTAAAGCTAGCTATTCAGTCAATTTAAGGCATACTTTATTCATAAAATTATCCAAATGTTTACTGAAATTTCCACTTTAAAACTATAATCAGGTATCATGATAGGCAGTAAATTTTATTTTTAGAATCAAACCCCTTAGTTTTAAAGCCCGAAACCTACATCAGAATTTGACAATTTAGAACTTTTCCTCTTGAAAATTTACATTTGTAATTACTCTGTGAGAGAAATTCTCTGTTGAACTTATCAGTGATTTACATTTGACTTCCCAGGTGTGAAAATGGAATAACACATCAGCTGGCAAGGTAAACCTTAAATGACATTATTTCTTTAGTTTTAACATCAGAAGTACAGTATAAAGAATAAAAGTTTATCTCGTGCTACATTTCCATGACTGGTTTTGAGAGAGCTTCTAATTCTGCAACAACCCTTTCTGAGCCCAGATTTTCCTGTTGACTTCATGAAGATGTTGGCTCTACTTCATGAAAACTTCAGCTCCTCTTCTGAAAGTATTTCTTGTACCTGTTTGTAGAAGAATCTTCAACTACAGTTATTGACACTCAATTCTCTAATTTTTCTTAGGACATCTTTGCATTTTTTTTTACTGGATTTCTATACTTCTCTCTTTATCTCTCACTCTAGTGAGAGTGGTTGTAGCAGTGTGTGTACTAGAGACCTGGCCACTACTCTCTAGAGTACATTCCAGGTCCTTTGAGTTGTTCCTGGTTGTAAAGATATTTTATTGATTCCAGCTTGAGCTTGGTCTTGGATGGGCCTAAATATTTAAACTTTCTTCACCGAATTGTGGGTTAATAGTGAATTGCTCAAGCCATAGTACAGGATTGTGACTTGTATTTGGCATAAATGCAGAGGAGTTAATCATTGTTTTGAAGATTATATCTTGTGGAAGGCCCAATGAACCCTAATGGAAAAAGAAGCAACACTGCTTGAATTTCTTGAGATAGCTGAGGTTAATAATCCAGTAATCAAAATGAAGTAGTCATATTCTTGGCAGTGAAAGTGTCTGCCTCAATCTGCAGTTAACCTTCCTATTCATCATTTGTATGTTAACCTGAAACCGGGGAAAAACATATGGAATATTTATCCTGTTTAGCATCTTTTAAATTACTAGAGGTTTATATGTGTATTCTCAGAAGCAATACAAAAGCAACATATATTTGTGTAAGTAAGTCATCATTGCATCATTGAGAGAATCATTCATTCTGCGTTGACTACATAATATCAGAGTTATTAGTTAACTTTTTTTTTTTTTTTTTTTTTTTTTTTTTTACAAGTCGGCCGTCTTCCACCGAGGCAGGGTGACCCAAAAAAGAAAGAAAATCCCCAAAGAGAAAATACTTTCATCATCATTCAACACTTTCACCTCATTCACACATAATCACTGTTTTTACAGAGGTGCTCAGAACACAACAGTTTAGAAGCATATACCTATAAAGATACACAACATATCCCTCTAAACTGCTAATATCCTGAACCCCTCCTTTAAAGTGCAGGCATTGTACAGTACTTCCCATTTCCAGGACTCAAGTCTGGCTATATAAAAATAACCTGTTTCCCTGAATCCCTTTACTAAATATTACCCTGCTCACACTCCAACAGATCGTCAGGTCCCAGATACCATCCGTCTCCATTCACTTCTATCTAACATGCTCAAACACGCTTGCTGGAAGTCCAAGCCCCTCGCCCACAAAACCTTCTTTACCCCCTCCCTTCAACCTTTTCGAGGACAACCCCTACCCCGCCTTCCTTCCCCTACAGATTTATACGCTCTCCATGTCATTCTACTTTGATCCATTCTCTCTAAATGACCAAACCACCTCAACAACCCCTCTTCTGCCCTCTGACTAATACTTTTATTAACTCCACACCTTCTCCTAATTTCCACACTCCGAATTTTCTGCATAATATTTACACCACACACTGCCCTTAGACAGGACATCTCCACTGCCTCCAACCGCCTCCTCGCTGCTGCATTTACCACCCAAGCTTCACACCCATATAAGAGTGTTGGTACTACTATACTTTCATACATTCCCTTCTTTGCCTCCATAGATAACGTTTTTTGTCTCCACATATACCTCAACGCACCACTCACCTTTTTTCCCTCATCAGTTCATAAATCCATCCGCCGACACGTCAACTCCCAAGTATCTGAAAACATTCACTTCTTCCATACTCCTCCTCCCCAATTTGATATCCAGTTTTTCTTTATCTAAATCATTTGATACCCTCATCACCTTACTCTTTTCTATGTTCACTTTCAACTTTCTACCTTTAATTTACCTTTACCTTTGATCTGTGTAATTTTCTTTTTTCCAAATGGTACATGTGTAGAACCCATGTACATTTTGGCATGAAACTAACATAGAGCTTTTGAAGCCTAATTTCCCAATATTTTAGTGGCATGATATTGACAGATGGTTAATTATGTATGTGAATGTTTTTTTTTTTTTTTTTTTTTTTTTTTTTTTTTTTTTTTTTTTTTTTTTAATTTGCACACACATTATATACTTGGCCATTTTCTTCGGTTCCCCATTGCATTCCAGATGGGGTGATCTACCAATCCCCGCTTTGGAGTTTCTGACTTATCTCCATTAATTGGTTTACTAAATCTAAAAAAAATTCTCAAATGCTATTAGTTTTCATTCTAACGACTCATTCTTTGGACATGACCTTGTCTGTACCTGCATGTTTCTCCGCTGTTTGCTGATAACACTTTTAGAGAGTGGCTACACATTTCAGTAAATGTTCATTCTACATAAAATTGGAGAAACTGGACTCTTTTTTTTTTCTTTCTTTCTTTCTTTCTTTCTTTCTTTCTGCACTAAAAGATACACAAGTTTGTAGACTCAGTGGTTCTGTAAAGGTTCAAACAATCTACTCCACATTGTCGACTGCAGGAGCTCCCACAAAAACACTCACTGTTATTTTGAACATTTTCTCAAGTACTTGTTTTGCCTATTTCTGCCTTGGTATCACTTGTAATTTTTAGGGTGCCATAGGTATGAAGAATGACGTGGAAGGAGGGAAGATATAAACTAAAAGTAAATATAGTAGGACAGTATTTACACCTACAAGCCAAGGCACTTGTCAGCTGACTTGTTGAAGAATTAGACACACGTGCATCATCTGGGTATCTTTATTTATAGACGTTTTGCTATCCAGTGGCTTTATCAATACAGTACAAGGACATAATGTGAAGAATGTAGAACTATATACAAAAGATGGGGTAATCATTCATTTTTTGTATATAGTTGTACATTCTTCACATTATGTCCTTGTTTTGATAAAGCCAATGGGTAGTGAAACATCTACAAATAAAGATACCCAGATGTTGCACTTGTGTCTAATTTTTCATCTTGTTGGTATTATATACCATTCATGTAAAGCTGACTCTTAAGTTAAAGGGGGAAACCCTTAACCAGTTTCATGTGGCTAGGAGTGTTAGTGTGTTGGAGTTGGGTGTCCTCACACACATTTCTTTAATGCCACAACATGCAGCATTGCTTACTGCTGGAAGTAATTTTACATACTAACTGCACACATTGGCAAGTGTTTTGTGTGCCTGAAGGAGTTACTCTCTTTTGTATTGAAAATAAATGTGAGGGGAGAGTAGCTTCTTACCCAGTTGTGCTGCTTTGCAGCTGTAGGGCATCATAGTTTTGTGCCTTTATGCACAGCTTTCCCCTCGTGCCATGACAGCCAGCTTCCTGTTTTGCTGGATTACACAGGAAATGATTGTTATATCACCAGTGCACTGAGGATGGTTATATCATTGATGCACTGGGGATGATTACATCACTGATGCACTGAGGATGATTACATCACTGATGCACTGAGGATGATTACATCACTGATGAACTGAGGATGATTACATCACTGATGCACTGAGGGTGGTTTTATCACTGATGCACTGGGGATGATTACATCACTGATGCACTGAGGATGATTACATCACTGATGCACTGAGGATGATTACATCACTGATGCACTGAGGATGATTACATCACTGATGCACTGAGGATGATTACATCACTGATGAACTAAGGATGATTACATCACTGATGCACTGAGGATGATTACATCACTGATGCACTGAGGATGATTACATCACTGATGAACTAAGGATGGTCATATCACCAGTGCAGATGTATTGACAATGAGTGGTTTCCTCTTAGTATTAAAGAGATATACAACACAAGCACCATTGCTTCCTACCTCACTATTCGCCATCATTTTCTGCTAACATTTCCCCACGAAAGCTGACCTCTTATTTAGTGGAAGTGCTACATATATTCATAGCCATTTGACTGGTGTTACACATCTTATGTAAGGCTGCATGTGTGTGATAGCAAATTTAAGGTCGAATATTTTCTTTCTTGAAGTGTTCATTTTTTCCCTTGGAAGATCTAAGGCCATTTTCTGGTGACCATAAAGTTCTAAAATCTTAAAACCCACCCCAAACATTAAGCCATGTATGCCTCTATTTCTGTATAGTTATTCAAGTTATCACTTCCCATAATTTCAATAGTTATACAATACAATAGTTCAGTTATATTACAAATAACTTATCTCCCAGCTGATTATCAAATGTTATACAATACCGACAGGTTGGTAGATAACACACATAGGCAACATTTAGGCAACTTTATTCTGAAACGTTTCGCCTACACAGTAGGCTTCTTCAGTCGAGTACAGAAAGTAAGCGGGAGCAGTAGAGATGTGAAGACGATGTAATCAGTCCATCACCCTTGAAGTCGTAGATTTGAGGTTGTCAGTCCCTCAGCCTGGAGAAGTTCTGTTCCAAAGTCTGGAACTAACTGAAGATCAAGCGACAGTGTTGAGACTTAAATACTGTCGGAAGGAGAGGTGCAGAGTAGTAGTAGTGAGAATGTAGCCACTGAGAGGTCATGTCCCTCTCAGATCAAACAGTTCTCACTTGAAAAAGTTGTCCAAGGTGTTTTCTCTGTCAGACACTGCAACACAATGGCATCTTGGTACAGAAGAGAAAACACCTTGGACAAATTTTACAAGTGAGAACTGTTTGATCTGAGAGGGACATGACCTCTCAGTGGCTACATTCTCACTACTACTACTCTGCACCTCTCCTTCATACAGTATTTAAGTCTCAACACTGTCGCTTGATCTTCAGTTAGTTCCAGACTTTGGAACAGAACTTCTCCAGGCTGAGGGACTGACAACCTCAAATCTACGACTTCAAGGGTGATGGACTGATTACATCGTCTTCACATCTCTACTACTCCCGCCTACTTTCTGTACTTGACTGAAGAAGCCTACTGTGTAGGCGAAATGTTTCGGAATAAAGTTGCCTAAATGTTGCCTATGTGTCTTATCTCCCAACTGTTTATATATAAAATTTACCTATTAAATGATCTTGAGTAACTGTACCTTGCTTCATAAATACAATATTCTTGAACTGTATTTGACTGCACATTTGTCCTTCACAAGAATATAATCAGAGCAATCCATTTTGGCAGAAATAATTCAACTATAAAATGCTATCGAGTAAATGCAAGTTTGTCGATAAATTGACTTTACCACCAGAAAGTGTCTTCAGAAATCACTATTCTGGTCTGGAATTTTCACATTTTTGCATTTAATTGAATTTTGTGATTCCAGATATTAATTTAAAGAGTTTTTGAGTATTCTTCCTTTTATTCACTGGCTTATACTTGTGCAACTCGCTAGTATAATATTAAAATACTCTATACTGTACTGTACGTATAGTGATAGTGTATGAAAATGAGTACAGTGAGGTGCTTGGTCAATTCTCATCTCTCCATCTCATTTGTTAACCAAAGAATTATAAGGATAAATTACCCAACTCTTTTGCAGAAAAAAAAAACTAACCACTTTGCACATGGTATGAGGAGCCAACCAAGCTCACTAACTATTTTTTACGATATTAGCAGCTAAAGTCATGGTGATTGTAATGGGCAATAATAATAAGTTGTAATTTTTTAAAGTGAACAAACTAGGAAAATGTAAAGGAATCCTCTGGTTTTTAACACAGGAAAACCAAGAAATATGGTTTATTTCCATTGGGTTCCTCCCATAGGATGTGACTCATAGTAACTGACTAACTCCTAGATATCTGTGTATTGGTAGATAAAAAAGAGGCAGTAGAGACTTGTCCATACATCTTTTGTCTGGTAATCGAACCCTGGTATTCATCATTGTGAGCCGAATT